TTTTTATTAAGTCTTAACATTTGTAAAGCAATGTTTCTTTCATGCCTTTCCCTTCACATCTTGCCTATCTGTCATGCAAAGTAATATTCATTTTAAGATTAAAAAATACTTTTTTGCATCAGAAAATTTTGAAATTAAAAAAAAACTGTATATTTTATTTGTTATTTTCAGTAATTAATCTATGTACGGGTTCGGTAGATTTGACCGATCTCGCAACCACCATAAAAAATTAGGAAATAAACATAAATTATGCCTCTATCATTCTGGAATGAACATAAATTATAATAAAGGAAAACATAAATGTTTAGACGAAATAGCTTAAATCTCATAACATTATATATATATATATTTATTATTTTTATTATATTGACCTTTTACCCGTGCCTAGCTAACAATACAGAAGTTACAATGACGTGGCTCACGTGCACTCATGTTACCGTATCAAATAACATAAAACTGACCTTCGGTTTGTACAACGTAACTTGTCTTGGTTGTGTTTTAATCGACTAGTATTTTGTAAAATACAGTCACATTTCAATTATTATAGATTATGCTATTTTGAAATAAGCTCTAAAACATATTTTTCCTAAAACATAGAACAGTAAATAAAGAAGTAAAGCAAACAATTATCTCTTCTAGTTACAACCTTTGTACTCGGTTGCTGCTTAAGAAGGCTGCTATGTCTTTAAACATTTTGCACCTGGAGGATATGAAACAATTTTTTTTAGGTTTTATATATACATTTGAATAACTATAAAATCATAAATTACTACATAAATTACTTTGTAACTAAGATGTATTTTAGTCTAAAAAAAATATGAAATTTGAGCAGACTAAAGACACACACACTATCTCATTGAAATATTGATTCAAAAGAAAGATATGACGTCCAAACACGTTAAAATGGCTGAGAAAGCCATCAGGGGACATTCTGAACTTCCGATTGGTTATTCATGTCATATATTGAAGTAAGTGTATATAAAGGAGCATTTCCAAAAATGGAAAGAGGTGGGGGGGTGCTACTGTGTTTGATTTATTACATGAGCAATATCTTAGCAAATTGAAAAAATACTCTAGCTTGTCAATATCGGCAATTTCAGTTTCTAATTCGTTTGAAACTGTAGACTTAGTATTTTTACTTCAAACATCTAATATGAACCGGTGTTGCATTCAACATACCACGTGACACAAAAAAAATCAATGTTTCTGTTTTTTAATATTTTCTTTTAAATCAAGAAATTAAGTAATATATAGTATTAAAATTTGAATTATAATCTACAGTTTGATACCAAACTTATTGACATAAATTTATCAAATAGTAGTTCAATAAACTTTTCAATACGAGTCAATGAACGAAAGGGTTAAAAGGAAACTAAAATGTCTGACCTATTTCTTGAAGTATCAAACTTTTCAGACATTTTTAAAAATGTTTTTAATGCAATTTTCATGTCCTTTGAAAACAACACTTTCAAACAAGATCTTGAAGGTTTTACAACTTCTCTTAGTGGAGCATATTAAACTCTATAGGCAGGTGAAAGTGCATGTCATGACTTTTTAAAGAGTTACATTTAAAATTTAACTAAGTTACTAAACTTGGCATTAAAATGTGGTTAATAAATCAAGTTTTAATATTATACAAGTTTTAAGTTGTTAGTTTTATAAAGAACTATTTAAAAAATCCTCATTCTCCCCTACTATGAGAATTGTGACATTTGCTCTCTAGGTCTTCCCTCTTCTCTAATGTATTTACCACCCCTCCCACAAGTACAGAATTTAACATATATTACTCATTATAATCCAGTTATCACTCAAGCAAAGCAAATTTTTTATTTTATTTTATTATACACACAATTGTTTTTAAATTCTGCACATGCATCTTTGTTTTAAGCTGTATGATATGATAATGAGCACTAACCCAAAACATCATCCTTTTAAATAAAAATATAAAAAAAACTTAATTATTCAACCTCTTCTTTGATTTAGTCTAGTTGATTAAACATATTAAGAAAGATTCCTGTAGGCTCACTGCAATTTTCATTTACATTTTTCAATAAAAAGCTAATATTTAACTATTCATTTCTCTTGATCTGAAGCATCTTAATCTAAAGCATGCAGAGCAGTTACGTCACTAGAAAGAAAAGTATTGACAGAAAAACAGAAACAAAAAACTTTTATCTCAAAAAAAAAAAAGAAACCATGATAATTCCTCTGACAAAGTAGGTAGAGCACAAATTTCCTGAATACCTAGAACCATGCGTAGAAGCAAACAGACCAAAGGCACTAAACATGTTAAATTTGAAATTCAAGTTTCAATGTACTAAAATAGTATTAGCTTCTATATGTAAACACCTACCACAGTTTTGTTCATCAGAATAATCTCTGCAATCATATCGTCCATCACATTTTTGTCTTTTA